CTACATTGTTTATTCTGGATCCTATTTTGAAATTGGAATATTTTGAACTTTGTGTTAAATTGGCCAAATTAACAATTTCCAATCACTTTAATTTGTAGTTGAAACAGTTGACTTGGCAATTTCTTGTGCTCAATCGATAGAATAGAAGTAATACTAGTGAAATAGCTAGGAATTTGGTTGACTGGAATAATGTAATTGGCCTAAAATGGGAATCAAAGTCGGCAAAATCGCCGATTCGTAAATATCGCTGACACATCAAAATTCGCGAGAGCATAATTTCGTCAATTTTCCATCAAATTTCGTACTTTTTGTTTTATTACCTTGACAAAAAGATTCTCTACCATTTCATAAGAAAAAATAACAAATTTTTTTTTTTGAAAATTCTTGGACACTGGGCCTTGGATTTGGGCCTTGGACCCTGAAGGGGTTAAACTCACCTCTCACCCTACATTAAGACTACTAATATTTTAAGGTAAGTAATAGGTGTACTGTGTGTGTATTTTACTTTTTATTGTTTTTAATGCTTAGTTCTATTGCTAATGTAATATATGTTAGTGTAAACTTGTTACCTGGCATTTATATGCATTTATAAGTTGAAAAATGGCGTTCTGCTTTCCGGCGATGTCTGCTTTCCGGCAGTAGCCTGGAACCTAACCTGCTGAATAAGTGGGGGGCCCTACTGTATATATAGTATATATTTTTTTTTTTTTTCAACAAGTCGGCTGTCTCCCACCGAGGCAGGGTGACCCAAAAAGAAAGAAAAAATCCCCGAAAAGAAAATACTTTTATCATCATTCAACACTTTCACCACACTCATACATAACCACTGTCTTTGCAGAGGTGCCCAGATACAACAGTTTAGAAGCATATATAAAGATATATAACATATCCCTTCAAACTGCCAATGTCCCAAACCCCTCCTTTAAAGTGCAGGTATTGTACTTCCCATTTCTAGTACTTAAGTCCGGCTATATAAAAATAACCAGTTTCCCTGAATCCCTTCACTAAATATTACCCTGCTTACACTCCAACAGCTCGTCAGGTCCCAAAAACCATTCGTCTCCATTCACTAATATCTAACACGTTCACACATGCTTGCTGGAAGTCGAAGCCGCTCGCCCACAAAGCCTTTATCCCCCTCCCTCCAACCTTTTCGAGGATGACCCCTACCCTGTCTTCCTTGCCCTACAGATTTATATGTTGTCCATGTCATTCTGCTTTGATCCATTCTCTAAATGACCAAACCACCTCAACAACCCCTTTTCAGCCCTCTGACTAATATGACTCAGAAATCATAATGACACGATTGCAAACAAACCATACCACGGGTGGGGTTTGAACCCGCGACGGTCTGGACTTTTGAGATTCTCTGACTGCGGGTTTAAACCCCACCCATGGTTTGGTTTCTCTGACTAATACTTTTATTAAATCCACACCTTCTAATTTCTACACTTTGAATTCTCTGCATAATACTTTCACCACACATTGCCCTTAGACAGGACATCTCCACTGCCTCCTCACTGCAGCATGTATAACCCAAGCTTCACACCCATATAAGTGTTGGTACCACTATACTTTCATACATTCCCTTCTTTGCCTTCATAGATGTTTTTTTTGTCTCCACATATACCTCAACGCACCACTCGCCTATTTTCCTTCATCAGTTCTATGGTTAACCTCATCCTGAAAACATTCACTTCTTCCATTCTCCCTCTCTCCATTGTGATATCCACTTTTTCTTTACCTAAATCATTTGATACCCTCATCACCTTACTCTTATCTATGATCACTTTCAACTTTCTACCTTTACACACCCTCCCAAACTTGTCCACTAACCTTTGCAGCGTTTCTTTAAAATCTCCCATAAGCACAGTATCATCAGCAAAAAGTAACTGTGTCAACTCCCATTTTGTATTTGATTCCCCATAATTTAATCCCACCCCTCTCCCGAACACCCTAGCATTTACTTTTACAACCCCATCAATAAATATATTAAACAACCATGGTGACATTACACATAACTGTCTAAGACTACTTTTACCAGGAAGTAATCTCCCTCTCTTCTATACACCCTAACCTGAGCCTCACTATCCTCATAAAAACTCTTTACAACATTAAGTAACTTACTACCTATTCCATATACTTGCAACATCTGCTGCATTGCTCCCCTATCCACTCTATCATGTGTCTTTTCTGAGTCCATAAATGCAATGAAAACTTCCCTACCTTTATCTAAATACTGTTCACATATATGCTTCAATGTAAACACTTGATCAACACATCCCCTACCCACTCTGAAGCTGCCTTGCTCATCCACAATCCTACTCCCTCTCTTACCTCTAATTCTTTCAATAATAACCCTACCATACACTTTTCCTGGTATACTCAGTAAATGTATTCCCCTGTAATTTTTACAATCTCTTTTGTCCCCCTTCCCTTTATATAAAGGAACTATACATGCTCTCTGCCAATCCCTAGGTACTTTCCCCTCTTTCATACATTTATTAAACAAAAATACCAACCACTCTAACACTATATCACCCCCCTGCTTTTAACATTTCTGTCATAATCCCATCAATTCCAGCTGCTTTACTCCCTTTCATTCTACATAATGCCTCACGCACCTCCCCCAGACTCACATCCTGCTCTTCTTCAGTCCTAAAAGATCTTATACCTCCCTGGCCAGTGCAAGAAATTACCACCTCCCTTTCTTCATTGACATTCAAAAGTTCCTCAAAATATTCCTGCCATCTACCCAATACCTCCAGCTCCCCATCTATTAACTCCACTACTCTGTTTTTAACTAACGAATCCATTCATTCCCTAGGCTTTCTTAACTTGTTTATCTCCAAATTTTTTTCATATTTTCATCAAAATTTCTTGACATTGCCTCTTCACTCTATCATCTGCTCTCCTTTTGCTCTCTCTCACCACTCTCTTCACCTTTCTTTTACTCTCCATATACTCTGCTCTTCTTATAACACTTCTGCTTTGTAAAAACTCTCATAAGCTTCCTTTTTTTCTTTTGTCACACCCTTTACTTCATCATTCCACCAATCACTCCTCTTTCCTCCTGCACCCACCCTCCTATAGCCACAAACGTCTGCCCCACATTCTGATACTACATTTTTAAAACTATTCCAATCCTCTTCAACCCCTTCACTACTCATACTTGCAGTAGCACACCTTTCTGCCAATAGCTGCTTATATCTCACCATACTTGCACTAGCCCACCTTTCTGCCAATAGTTGCTTGTATCTCGGCCTAACTTCCTCCTCCCTTAGTTTATACACTTTCACCTCTCTCTTACTTGCTGTTGCTATTTTCCTTTTGTCCCATCTAATTCTTACTCTAACTGTAGCTACAACTAAATAATGATCCAATATATCAGTTGCCCCTCTATAAACATGTACATCCTGGAGAGCACCCATCAACCTTTTATCCACCAATACATAATCAAACAAACTAATTTCGTTATGTGCTATATCATACCTTGTATACACTTATCCTCCTTTTCATGAAATATGTATTATTTATTACCAAACCTCTTTCTACACATAGCTCAATTAAAGACTCCCCATTTTCATTTACCCCTGGCACCCCAAATTTACCTACTACTCCCTGCACAACATTTTAACCCACTTTAGCATTGAAATCCCCAACCACCATTACTCTCACACTTGGTTCAAAACTCCCCATGCATTCACTCAACATTTCCCAAAATCTCTCTCTCTGCTCTACACCTCTCTCTTCTCCAGGTGCATATACGCTTACTATAACCCACTTTTCACATCCAACCTTTATTTTACTCGACATAATCCTTGAATTAATACATTTATACTCTTTTCCTGCCATAGCTTATCCTTCAACATTATTGCTACTCCTTCTTTAGTTCTAACTTTATTTGAAACCCCTGACCTAATCCCATTTATTTCTCTCCACTGAAACTCTCCCACCACCTTCAGCTTTGTTTCACTTAAAGCCAGGACATCCAGCTTCTTCTCATTCATAACATCCACAATCATCTCGTTCTTATCATTCGCACAACATCCATGCACATTCAGACTTCCCACTTTGACAATTTTCTTCTTATTCTTTTTAGTAATCATTACAGGAAAAAGGGTTACTAGCCCATTGTTCCTGGCATTTTAGTTGACTTTTACAACACGCATGGCTCACGTAGGAAAGATTCTTATTCCACTTTCCCATGGATATAAAAGGAAAAGTAATAAGAAACAAGAACTATTAAGATAAAAATCAAAGAAAACTCAGATGAGTGTGTATAAATAAATGTGTACATGCATGTTTAGTGTGACCTAAGTGTAAGTAGAAGTAGCAAGATGTACCTGTAATCTTGCATATTTATCATAGGTAGCAGTTATTCAAAGGATGAGTCTTGCAAGTTTTACTGCACATTAGAGACCCATTAGTTTTGTTAAAAAGTGCATTTTAGAACTTACAGTGGCTTGTTAATATCATAATCTTCCTTTCTTTTCTTTCTCGCATTAACTAATGGTAGTATAGTCAGCATCATCACATTTTTTTTTATCTAACTCACTGTAATAATTATAAGATTATATGGATTTATTTGAGGCCAGGAATTTTCATTATTTGAATGCAGAATGATTTTGAGAAAATTTTGCCTCCAAATTATCAAGTTATTTTCTGACATTATTGCTTATGAAGAAATGCCATCAATAATCAGTAACAGCAATGTGATAGTAAGTTTGGTATATAGCACCAAAGTTTGTAGGATTAATTTCATTACGAATTAGTATTTAGAGTACATGAATACTTTTCATATAGTTTCAGTTGAATGCTATCAAGCAGTTAAAAGTTACCATTCCCTATTTTATGTAGAGGTTAAACTCATACAGAAGAGGGTAAGTATTTATCCAGACAGATTTATCCAGCATTCAGTAGCTCATACTGTACTTACCAAGACGTGTGTCTGTACGTAAGTGCATGCTCGCTAACATCCGGCTACTTCCCACTAACAGGACCTCCTCCCTGGCGTCTTCCAGCACCACCTCGGGAGGCTCTCAGAAGAGCTCTCCAAAGTTCTCGCGTACCTACTCACTTCCCAGACATAAATTCAAACAAAACGAGCAGTGTAACCAGCAGTAATAGGTCAAGACGACAAGATAAAGAAGGGCATCTCTTTCTGTTATCATTCCTACCCTCTTATGTCTTAAGCATTCTACTTTGAGTTGATGCTCAAGCTAAAGAATACTTTTTTTTTAAACTGAAACTTGTCATTACTATAATGATGTTTAGTTTTATCGTACAAGTGTGTTCAGTTGGTAATTGTTGTATATGTATTTTGGAAAGGTTGTTAAACTCATATGTAAGATGACTGAACAATGTAAGGATCTCCTGCCATTAAAAATTAAAAACATTAAAATTCTGCAATACACACAAAATGTATTTTGTTGTATGAATACTACGAGTTAAGATTTACTATGCAGATACATGAGTAGTCGAGCCATATAGCTAACTCCTCTGGTTGTCTTCAGCAAGGCCACTGTTCAACTCTCTTGTATATAGAATTAACATTGCCTCTTTCTGCCTTCTTTTATTGTTTCATATAAGAGTTGTTCTGATATTTTCAGTTTTGTTTTGATGCATTACAGTTGCATCCTCAATGTCTGCATTAAGGGTAGACTTAAATGCTTCAGAAGTAGACAAGTGTTTTACATATACAGTAACAAGAATGCTGTAAATGCAAATGGTAGAATCTGTGTAGGTTGATTACTATAAAGAAAAGGTTACTATAAAAAACAAGTACTATCTAAACTAAAAGAAAACAAGAGTGACCAACACATGTGAATTGTTTCATTATCTGCAAGGTGATATACATTCTGCCAAATCAGTAATGAGCAGTGGTATATGTGATAAATTTCTTAGTAAACTGATTAAAATTGTGGTAAAACTGCATTACTTGTAAGTAAATTCTTTGTCTCAAATGAAAATGATAAAATTAAACAATTTGAATAGAGGGTAAAGGAGGAGGATGATAAAGTTGAGTTAGCTGGTAGAAATAAGAGGAGGATAAGAAGTTAATACAGTTAAAATATGTAAAAACAATAAAATATGAGGCCAGAATGAGGTGCTTGGCTATTGCAAGCTAGTTAGTGTTTTATTTCTTACGTTCAACACTGCAGCATGAAATATCAATTGTTTCCTTGTGTAAAGTTTGTAAACAGTAATATGCCATTACAGCAGTGGTTACTTTTTTTTTTTTTGTATAAAATATCAATAACCATTCTTTCAAAGAATGTTATTTATAGAGAATAAAACTGATTCTTGTATCTGCATAGTAAGTATTCCTGTTCTTAATTTAATGATGTGGTCTCTTACCTAGGTGCTTACCTACTGATTATCTAGATTCTTACCTAGATGCTTTCCTAGGTTCTTGCCTAGGTGCTTATTGTTGAAAGTGTTTGGAGTTCCTTGTTCATTGTTGCAATAAGTCTTTTAAGATACTTTTTTTATTCATTTTGTTGAATGTAATATTCAACAAAGCTGAGACTATGTTTCCCTTTGTGATCAAATTTGTCTATTAGAAGCAGCTACTCACTCCTCATACTATAGTGGCATTACACTGGCATTATTATCAAAAAAATAAAGATTTTGATGAAAATTTTGAATTTCTTTATCAAAACATTATATTAGCATTAACAGATGAACAAATATGAATATTATGGTTGTTGATGTTCACTGAATGATTTTGGTGGTTGCAGGCCTCTAACAAGAACAACTAGTTTGTGAGTGGCAGTTGACCAGTCAGACATCCCATAAAGTAATTTGTAAGACTACACAATTATTACATTTAATGTACATATTTAATTTTTCACTAAAATTTTAGTCTTAAAGATATATAAGAAATGGACACATGTTTATAAGTTTCAGATTATATTACAGTATTTCTATAAATTCCACTTAAAGGTTTGTAATTAATTAGGAGTTTTCAAGTACTAATAGGAAACACACTCCAATACATCGAGTGGTTAAATATTACAGCTGGCTACAGTCCTGTACAGTAAACCTTGGGGAAATTTTTCCTATGTCCTACCCTTTCTTGAAGCTCAGGATAAAATCTCATCATTTGCAAACGTAGTGCATAGGCCTGATAAATACGCTTATTAATGCTTTGCCATGCCTTCTACAGGACTCATTGATCAAGCTTGCATTTCTGGCAGCACTAAGAGGTGCCTCTGCTTGTTGCATCATCTCCTATGCTTTATTCTAAATCTACTAAGCTCCAGCTCTAGTTTAAAGGACACAATGGGCTTCATATTATAATTTTTCCAAGTGTTTTGAATTTTACAAGAGTACTGTAATTTCATTCTTGCATGCACACCATGTACTATATACATATTTTTTTTTTTAACACATTGGCCATCTCCCACTGAGACACCAAACACTTAATATTTACTTATGCACTTAGCAGCTGGCTAGCTATTAGCCACTAACATGGGTAGAAATATTTAGGCTTAATTTTATCCTTCAGGTTTTTTGATGACACTTTCAAATTCCAGTTTTGTAAATGCAGATCTTTGAGATTCTTCATAAAATTTGCTCTTATGTTTTAAGGCAAAAATAGGCAATTTACAAGGAATATAAGGAAGGTCCAATTTTTTGGCTTAAAATTATTAAAATTATAACAAATATTGAAGGTAAGCACAGTAGTTAATTGAAGCTTAAAAAAGTTTTGTAGCTTTGGGTTTGGAAACTATTAATGTATTTGATTGAATGTAGATGTTAGTATTCTTGATCTTGCAGGGAACTTCCTCCTTTTACTAAGAAGCAGCCTGCACACTGAACTAGCTCTAAAGTCTCTGGTGACTTCGTTTTCATTAAAAGGATATTTATTTTGGTTAGAAGGGTTTCACTGTGTCCTCCAACATGGTCTTTCACTTGAGCAAAACTCGTAGCTTCTTTCAGTCGTAATGACAATGTTAAAAGTTTCTGCTTCTCAGAAGAATTTTAATAGTTAAAACAACATTTTGTAAGAAATCAGAACATATCCTTAAAGCTTAACAAAGGATTATTGTAAATGTTAGACATTAGTGCATGTGGAAACTGCCAAGAGGAGCATGTTTTTCACTATTTACAACCACCTTAATAATATTGCAGTTCACTCAGTAATACTCTTAATTATCTGTCAGTGTTTTAGTTTTCTTCTTTTGGGTTTTTACCACTTTTTTTTTTTTTACATTTATTTATGCATATCAAAAACTTACTCAATCTAGATTATACAATACTAACAAGCCATGCAACTCGCATTATTTTTGTCTTTTTTTTTCACAAAATGCTTTATTAATTTTATTAAAATTACATGCAAATTTATACATATGAATCTCGACCCTTGGAAAAACTCGGTAGGCTTTACTGCAGGACAAGGTGACCTAATATCAATTGATAAAATTATCTGTTTATTGCTTCTTGGCCTTTGCTTACTTGGCATTATTATGAGTAACTTCGCAGGCTGTTTTTGTTTTTTGCAGTACAGTAGCTCTATTTTTGTGGTTATGGGAGAATTTTGATGGTTGTTGACCTTCTTTTATTTCTTTTCTTCAACAGGCATGTGGATGGGAAAGAGAAAGCCAAAAAGAGGAAGGGACTGTTTTAAAGCAGCAGTTCCCAGTTCATAAAAGCTCATATTGCCGCTTGAAGCACTGCACCCCCACCTGCCTCAGCCTCAGTCCCTCCAAGCTCATCTTCTATGCCAGTAGCTCTCACTTCAAATTTTATTTGCATAATTTGGAAGAGAAAGTATGAACTGGATATTTAAAAGATCTAATAGAGATAATCAGTTGTACATTGACTTGAAGGGACCTAAGGTATTTCCCTGGGGGATGCAGAAGATTATGGTTATCATTCTTGTAACTTCTATCACAGCCACTTATACATTATGGCAGATTTAGACTTAACACACTAAGCTTGTTTTACAAGGCTCACTCATTGTCATTAGTGCCAAAGTGATTGTGACTATTATTTTTGGAACCTATATATGCTGATCTCGTATAGGTGGATTATTGAGGTGACAGTTTAGATAACCATAATCTTCCCCTGAACCATAGATATCATCATTCTTTTGGTACTGCGCTGTAGTGGCACGTATCCCAGTGACCAACCAGAAATCTCTGTTCTCACAAATCTAAAACTACTGAACATTTGACATTCGTAGGTTGTATTTAAAGTAGTAATATGGGCCTCATAATACAACTGAAAGCTTAAAATGTTCAGACCATATATATATATATATATATATATATATATATATAATGTATTTATTATTACTCGCTAAACCAACTCTCAATCTACGATAATATTGGTTGATGATCACCAGCTATTCTTTTAATTAGCAGCATTTTATACAATGTATATAGTATGGTGATGCATCCCAGGTCATATTCAGACAGTATAGTTCAATGCATTTTATAGAGTTCATTTATTGTCATAAGTTTTTTAAATATATCTTGAGACCACAGATTTTAAGTGTGTGAGGCAAACTTTTTCTGGGTGGTCACACTAAAAGTTAAGTACGAAGTACAGGATGTGACTACTTTGCAGTCTCTGTAGTTCTGATGCTATTGATCTTTCCTGTACAGTACTTAGGTGGAAGCAAGTTGATCATCTTCAAGATGGACTTTGGCATGTCAGTACTTCCGATTGGCAACAAGAATTGGTGATTATTATTGTGTACAACTTTAAGTTCCTTAAAGTTTTCTATACAAATTGCTGATTTAAATAAGTGCATCCACTCTATACAATAGTATATACGAATTTAAGTTATTTTCACTTCACAACAATGCAGTTACAATAAAGAAAAATATATTATTTATTCTTTAACACTGCTTTTTTCATAGGAAATGTATATTGACTACCTTCATTACTTGTATAAAACTATTTCATTTTCTTATAGCTCTCCAGACCTCACAGTAGCTGTGTAATAATAATGTACACCAGTCAGTTACATGTGTATTTTGGGTTATTTTACTAACACTGATAATAGCCTCTTGAGCTCTTTCTTTATATATATATATGTTTATAGCAGACTGCTGCCTTAGTCAGTGCTGGAGTCATGTATGTAGGTAGAATGACATCACAGGTAAAGAGTCACATCCTTACAAGTTGTACATACTGTACTTAAGATTGTAAGAGATACAAGATTTATGTATACAATGGGTATTACATACACACCTTAGATTTTTTTTATACTCTTTATAGCCTATGTTTTGTTACAGTGGACATACTTAACATCTTCAACTAGTCGTTTTTTTTTTTTCTTTTTATACATACTGTACTCAGTTCATTGCTAGGCTCACTGCCATAGAACTGTAAATAATGTGTACACTCACATAATAAATAAACAGCCTCTTCTCTCATCAGTTTCTATTTCTCTTAAATTATTTCAAAATATGTATTATACACACACACATTGTGTTCATGTAGTATACCTGCAGGTGGAGTTCATTAACAATACAGTGTTCACCTACAATATCAATGTGGACTAGCAGTGCAGATGGTGTCAGAAGACATTTAACTTGGATTTTATATATATATATATATATATAAACATGTACATGTTTATAGAGGGGCCACAGATATATCAGATCACTTTCTAGTTGTAGCTACACTGAGAGTAAAAGGTAGATGGGATACAAGGAGAATAGAAGCATCAGGGAAGAGAGAGGTGAAGGTTTATAAACTAAAAGAGGAGGCAGTTAGGGTAAGATATAAACAGCTATTGGAGGATAGATGGGCTAATGAGAGCATAGGCAATGGGGTCGAAGAGGTATGGGGTAGGTTTAAAAATGTAGTGTTAGAGTGTTCAGCAGAAGTTTGTGGTTACAGGAAAGTGGGTGCAGGAGGGAAGAGGAGCGATTGGTGGAATGATGATGTAAAGAGAGTAGTAAGGGAGAAAAAGTTAGCATATGAGAAGTTTTTACAAAGTAGAAGTGATGCAAGGAGGGAAGAGTATATGGAGAAAAAGAGAGAAGTTAAGAGAGTGGTGAAGCAATGTAAAAAGAGAGCAAATGAGAGAGTGGGTGAGATGTTATCAACAAATTTTGTTGAAAATAAGAAAAAGTTTTGGAGTGAGATTAACAAGTTAAGAAAGCCTAGAGAACAAATGGATTTGTCAGTTAAAAATAGGAGAGGAGAGTTATTAAATGGAGAGTTAGAGGTATTGGGAAGATGGAAGGAATATTTTGAGGAATTGTTAAATGTTGATGAAGATAGGGAAGCTGTGATTTCGTGTATAGGGCAAGGAGGAATAACATCTTGTAGGAGTGAGGAAGAGCCAGTTGTGAGTGTGGGGGAAGTTCGTGAGGCAGTAGGTAAAATGAAAGGGGGTAAGGCAGCCGGGATTGATGGGATAAAGATAGAAATGTTAAAAGCAGGTGGGGATATAGTTTTGGAGTGGTTGGTGCAATTATTTAATAAATGTATGGAAGAAGGTAAGGTACCTAGGGATTGGCAGAGAGCATGCATAGTTCCTTTGTATAAAGGCAAAGGGGATAAAAGAGAGTGCAAAAATTATAGGGGGATAAGTCTGTTGAGTGTACCTGGTAAAGTGTATGGTAGAGTTATAATTGAAAGAATTAAGAGTAAGACGGAGAATAGGATAGCAGATGAACAAGGAGGCTTTAGGAAAGGTAGGGGTGTGTGTGGACCAGGTGTTTACAGTGAAACATATAAGTGAACAGTATTTAGATAAGGCTAAAGAGGTCTTTGTGGCATTTATGGATTTGGAAAAGGCGTATGACAGGGTGGATAGGGGGGCAATGTGGCAGATGTTGCAAGTGTATGGTGTAGGAGGTAGGTTACTGAAAGCAGTGAAGAGTTTTTACGAGGATAGTGAGGCTCAAGTTAGAGTATGTAGGAAAGAGGGAAATTTTTTCCCAGTAAAAGTAGGCCTTAGACAAGGATGTGTGATGTCACCGTGGTTGTTTAATATATTTATAGATGGGGTTGTAAGAGAAGTAAATGCGAGGGTCTTGGCAAGAGGCGTGGAGTTAAAAGATAAAGAATCACACACAAAGTGGGAGTTGTCACAGCTGCTCTTTGCTGATGACACTGTGCTCTTGGGAGTTTCTGAAGAGAAGTTGCAGAGATTGGTGGATGAATTTGGTAGGGTGTGCAAAAGAAGAAAATTAAAGGTGAATACAGGAAAGAGTAAGGTTATGAGGATAACAAAAAGATTAGGTGATGAAAGATTGAATATCAGATTGGAGGGAGAGAGTATGGAGGAGGTGAACGTATTCAGATATTTGGGAGTGGACGTGTCAGCAGATGGGTCTATGAAAGATGAGGTGAATCATAGAATTGATGAGGGAAAAAGAGTGAGTGGTGCACTTAGGAGTCTGTGGAGACAAAGAACTTTGTCCTTGGAGGCAAAGAGGGGAATGTATGAGAGTATAGTTTTACCAACGCTCTTATATGGGTGTGAAGCGTGGGTGATGAATGTTGCAGCAAGGAGAAGGCTGGAGGCAGTG